CCTCCCACTGCCCCCCCAAGCACCAAGAATACAGAGCATCCCTTGCCGCAGACATAAGAACATAAGAGAAGCCAATGCTCAGGCGGGCCAATAGCCCCTCCAGTCCAACACTCTGTTACACAGGGGCCAAAAATACCAGGGGCCATCAGGAGGTCTGGCAGTGGGGCCAGAACACCAGAAGCCCTCCAACTGTCCCCCCCAAGCACCAAGAATACAGAGCATCCCTTGCCCCAGACATAAGAACATAAGAGAAGCCAATGCTGGATCAGGCCAATGGCCCCTCCAGTCCAACACTCTGTTACACAGGGGCCAAAAATACCAGGGGCCATCAGGAGGTCTGGCAGTGGGGCCAGAACACCAGAAGCCCTCCCACTGTCTGTCAGACCCGGGGGAAGGGAGTTTTCCAATGCACTTTTTCCAATGCTATAATATCCTTTTTGAGTGTGGTGACCAGAACTGTACACAGTACTCCAAATGAGGTCGCACCATTGATTTATACAGGCCCAGGATGAATTGCACCCTTCCAGATATGCTGCTGCCACATATCCAACCATACAGTCAGTACACCTGGCACAAGTGCCCACAGCAAGGCCTGCACTGGGCAAATGGCTACTTCTGTACATGAGTGCAGGTTGAAGACCTCTCCTCTCCCCTTCTGATCTGTTTTAGATGACCACAGCCTGACTGCCATCCCTGTCCCAGTGAAAGGAATGTCCTACACCTGCAACGCCCTTCCTGACTGGTCCCTCCTTAGACCCCACTAGCAATTCTACAAGGCTGCCTGATACAGCTTTACCTCAAATCTTGATGTGCAGTACAACTAAAATGTGAATGACAAGCTTGTGAGTGTCTCTGGGGAGACCGGGGCCCTGACATCCTGCTTCTTTGGCTGTCCCCAAGCCCACACATCTGCCGGGGAGCTTGGGGATGGGCCGTCCGGGCGTACCTGGAGGCTCTCTCCTTTCCCCGCTCAGCCCTCGCCTGGGCCACGGTTGCGGATTCCAAGCCCGCGGTGTCCCTTTTCCAGGCGGGGAAACCATTGGTCAGCTAGTCGGCTAGGCAGCAGCTCCTCGGGTGAAAACGAAAGTAAAGAGGCTGGGGAGGAAGGCAGATCTTGACTACCCTGCGAGGCTAGGCTTAGCGAGCGAAGAAAAGGGGCTGCTTTGAGGGCTGGCTGGAAATCCCCCTCTAAAGGGGGAGCCGATGGAATGAGCCATCCCGGGGTGGGGAGGAAAGCTGAAGCGCCATCGGCATGTATAGCAGTCTTCCTGTAATCGAGCACTACATTGAGGAACAGAAGAGAACTCATAGCTCATGTGCGAATGTGACTGTGACATTAAATGGAAGGAGGAGAGCACACACAATCTGTATACTGTAATGTGTAATATTTACAGGGCTGTAGCCAGGATTTTTTACTTGGGGGGGACATTTAAATAAGTCGGGGGGCACCCCTGCATACCACCACCACCCCCGGGCTGCGTCAGGAGCGACTAGAGAGTATTTTTTTTAAAAAAGCAGCGGCAAAGGAGAGAGGCAGGAGCACCGGCAGGCAGGGTGGCTCGGTGAGACTGTGGCCTGCGTGAAAAATAAAATAAACCGGATGGATGGGAAATCGGGAGGCCTGGATCGTAAGTGGGAGGGGGTCCTGGCCCTGAGATGCCCCACTTCTCTGTGTCTCTGTGTAAAGAGAATCATTGTTGACCTTTTCTATTTTCCACGCACAAATCTACACACAACAGAATGGATTTTCACATAAGCCATTCCAAATGTTTCAGATTTCCACTTAAGATATTGGGTGGATCCACATACTCCAAGGAGCCGTCCTACAAATTCAGTGTCTCTTTTCTCCAAAAGAAGAAAGTTGCAAGAAGTCTCCTTAGACTGCAGAAAGACTTCAAACTTGTGGCAAAATAAAAAGTGTGATATAAAAATAGAAATAAATAATAGAATGGTAGGAGACCCGGGGATGGGCCATCTGGGCCCAGCAAGACTGCTAAGCAGCCTTGCTGGCCCGAGACTGGGGGGGGGAGTTTTCCCCGTGGAGCGCCTTCGTGCTCCGCCGGGGAGCTTGGGGATGGGCCGTCCGGGCCGAGTAAGCCGTGCTGGCCTGAGACCGGAGGGAAGGGGAGAGTTTTCCCCGTGGAGCACCTTCGCGCTCCGCCGGGGAGCTTGGGGATAGGGATGGGCCATCCGGGCCGAGCAAGCCGTGCTGGCCCGAGACCGGGGGGAAGGGGAGAGTTGCCGTCCGGGACCGAGATGGGGATGAGAGTTTTCCCCGGGGAGCGCCTTCGGCGGAATGGGCCGTCCGGGCTGCTGGCTGCTGGGAGCAGGGGGCGGGGCTTATGTCCCCGCCCCCGGGTTTCTGACTGGCGGAGCTCCGTACTGGCGAGCTCCGGCAGGAAACGGCCCCTGGATAAGATATTGAATGTCCTAAAAAACAGCAATTAAAAAGACAGTATTAAAACCATGGCCTCCATAAGGCAAAACAAGATGGGGTAGCTAAAGCCAGCGGCAGGGGGATTTAAAAGATTAGAGAGGATGAAACTAGTGTGTTCAGTTTGGTGCCAGGTAGGCTAGCACAAAGAGTTTTCGAAGCATACATGCCATTTCTGGAAAGATTCTTGCTAAATCATTTTAAACCAGACACTGGGAAACTTGTATCACTTCATCAAGCCCATCCATCACATGAAAAATTTATTGAACAGTGAAGTAGTTACTAAATGTGGTATCAAAGGGTCTTGCTATCAGACTTTAAAAAGTTGGTATCACTGAAACAAGTCCATCAATTTTGTTGAATAAATTAAACTAAAAAGTTTTAATTGGATTTTGAATAAATGTGCAATTAATTCAGTTAGTCAGCCATGTTGGTCTGAAGCAGTACAACAAATTTAGAGTCCAATGGCACCTTTAAAACCAACAAAGGTTTATTCAAGGTATGAGAATGTCAGTCAAGGTTCAAACATAGCCAGAGAAAGAACAGCAAATTAACATGCAACATGATGATGATCAAGATATGCAAAGTGACACTAAATAACAAGTTAAGGTTATAAGGTCAACAGTTGTAAAGAAATAAATATGTCAAACCAGCAGAGAAATGTCTAAAGGTGTCTTTTCTAATTGTGGGAAGTGTCTGGGAATCTTCATTCTCTCCTGTCAGGCATGTAGGGCACTTAACACTACACCCCCTCCAAAAAATGCTGTTCTGAATAATACTTTACATAGGATAGGGGACACTGGGGGTTAATTTATGGAACCAAGGTGGAGGGGCTGTTGCTCAGTGGCAGAGCTTCTGCTTGACATGCAGAAGGTCCCAGGTTCAATCCCCAGCATCTCCAGTTAAAGGACCAGGCAGTAGGTGATGTGAAAGACCTCTGTCTGAGACCCTGCAGAGCCATTGCCAGTCTGAGTAGACAATGGCTATTTTTGGGCAGGAACGCACAGGAACGGAGTTCCTGCTGGCTCCCAAGTTGGCTTCGTGTGGCCTGAAAAGGTTTGGGAACCACTGATCTAGGCCCACAATAAAATATTCAGTAAAGACACAGCAAAACACATGCCCATATTTTTCCTACAATGCTGGAGGCTCAGAACTTTCTTTTAACAATGCCAAAGTCAAAATTCTCATGAAGCTAAATTCTTCTGCACTATTGCACTCTTTTGTCAGTGGTGAAAATGTGGAATACAAAAGCTCTGATTTAAACTGAGAAAAAAGTACTCTGTACTCATATTCCATCAATGCAAATTTAGTTTAATCCAGGGCTTTTTGTGTTTAAAAAACGTGTGCCAGTACTCATATATTGCCACCAGTTCCCCCTTCAGAACTTGGAGAACTCTTCCCCCAAAGGTACTAGTACTTGGTACCAGAGTACAACTACACCCCCCCACACACACACTTTAATCCATAAAATAAACAGACAGGATTACATACTTTATATTGGCCTCTATGCTATCACTGTGTTCATATTCTGTAGCAATACAAGTTTAAAAACCCTGTGCTGTTTAACCCACACACATCAAACACTATTATGCTTTCTAAACTAGAATACTATCTACTCTTCTGCACCACCTAGAACAATCTGTAGATAGCAGCCTAACAATAATTGGAATTTCATCTTTCCCTGTGTCAGAGATAAAATTATTCAGTGTCCTACACTAACATATAAATGAAAATTACCATTTTACAAGAAACAGGACAAATTTTGATTCCAGTGGCACCTTTAAGACCAACAAACTTTTATTTTAGTTTGCACACACACATGAAATTTATACCCAGAATAAAACTTTGTTGGTCTTAAAGGTGCCACTGGACTCATACTTTGTTCTGCTGCAACACAACTACCCACCTAAATTTTAAAAGAAAGTCAGTTTTGCAAAGCTAAGCAGAGTCTACATTTAGCAGTACTAAATCTGATAATTTGTCCATAAAACTTTGTTTTACCACAGTCCTGCTCTTACTTGTCTAAGATCACAAGCTTCAAAAGTTGTATTCTAAATCAACCATCCAAAGATTAAATTAAATTAAATTTACACAGAAGACTGAGAAAAAAATTTTCACTCAAAATTGGCAGGAGAGGCTTAGCTACTCCAGCAACTGAAGACTGTTAAGACCGATTTACACAATCCCCAACACGTGGAAGCATCCAGGTAAGGAGAGCCTTGTTCAATCTGACAGCATATCAAAGTGGTAATATGAATGCCTTGTAATATGAGTCCACCCAAACTCCTAGCAAAAACAAAAAATTACCCCAAATGAGATGCTAAATGCAAAAAGGCTTACTCTACTTCATATAGTACCATTTGTGACATTGTTTTTTAAATGGCAAACGCATTCTCCCTTCCCCTTGCACATAACCTCACTTATGAACTAGCCAGTCCACACCAACACCTGACTGTGCAGGTAGCCAATTCATGCAGCCTTTCCTCAATTTTTTGAAAGAAAGCTCAGCCAGGCCCTTCTGTAATTTGTCATAATTGCAGAGCAGTTGTTTCATATCTGAGGTAATCTATATGGTTGATGTGAGATCTAGAACCACACAATGGCAAGTGTTACTTCAAGTAAAGTATCAGCCTAGGCTAAATCATTCATTCTACTTGCTAGTCTCCTCTCAAATACTTCATCATTACTGGTCAATAAGATGAAAGAGGAAGTAATCAAACAACCACTTTGCTAGACTGCCAGCTTGAATAAGGACTAATAACCAGACAACAGAATTTGGGTGAGTAGCCATTTAAGGAAAAAACTGTTATGCCCTTTTACAGTTCTACCTAAATTGGTGTGTCATTCCACATGCTCTATTTTGAATCAGGTTGTGGTGTAGGCTCTTAACACAGGTAACAGCTGTCCTTTAAGATACTCTCATCTAAGAAGGAAATGAATGATCTACACATGCCAATCTAACGGTAAAATTATATACTTTATTAAAAATGAAGAACTGCCCAATATCTCTTTTGAAGGCCAGATGCCTTAAAAGTAAATGAAGAAATTCTAATGACTCTAAGTAAATTAATAACTTCAACAACATCAAAATGAATTATTTCTCCTAGTGTCTGTTCATGTGAGACTATCCTACAACTATAAAAATATAAAATACATTTTCTTTTCTTGCAAATTTTGAAATGGATATAACGTTCACCTGCCTAACACAACCATGAAAAGTTTAATTATTTGCAAAACTCTGTGACTAAGAAATAAAGTGTCCTATAAAAAAAATAACAAGCATTACAACTATATTTTATTGACATATCCTTTGGTCAATAAGTAAACACAAAGTATTGAAAAAACAGCAAATGGGTAATTACACTAACCATTATTCTGTTAGAAGTTAAACTATCTACTGATTCATTGAACTTAATAACCTCAAAGTAATATTCATAAAACATACAAGTATTTTCCCTCTTTAATAGAAGGAAAATATCCAGGCAAACTTTGTACAAGTAAATAATGAGGACAACTAAGAAACTAGAACTGCTTGATTTAATGTGAATACATTCCAAAGCACTGACCAATTAATTATTAATGCTACTTACAGTCAAACATCAAACACTATTATAGCTCATTCTATAACATATATACATAAATGCAGACAGAACATATATGCATGTTATTCAGAGAACACTTACCATTTTCTACTTCCTTGTAAATGTCCTGAAAAGTAGGATAATAGCTGCTGTTCTTGGCTTTTAAAATCCTAATCATTTTCTGAACAACAGGACTCTGAAGCTAGAATTAGAAAAGTACAAGAGATTTCCACTAACAAAATATTTTCATGCATTTGTAAGAACTCATGTTTTTAAGAATTCACTCTAGTACGCAAAAGGATAAGCAACAGTTTGGAACAATGAAAATTTCACAAACAGCTGAGCATGAGCTTGAAAATTAAAATGTAAGTCCCCAATCCAAATGAATCATGTTCATCCTAGTATTCGTTTATGGAACACTTTAAGGGTTAAAGGTGGTCAGGGGTGGGGAGATTATTAGTAGCATAGGGACATAAAGATTTCCTGGACTAGCTGCACAGGTTTTATTCACCAACCCATTTATTCACCAACTAAAGTAAATCTTGGTTTGCCACACTATACAGTTAAGCCTGGAGAATCCTCAAGCTTGTGGATTCCCTTTTCATCTACTGAAATCTTATTTGATTGTTGTGCTTCACAGCAAGCTCTAATTTGATGTTAGAGTCAAACTAGAAAGCTATGATTTGTGGTTTACCTCCAAAGAAGTTTGGCAAAGTATGGTTTGCTGCAAAAAGATTAAGATGGGCAGAAGGATGGGAACAGAAAGAGAGGTCACACTAGCTGAATATTCCCCAGGCTGGTTCCCTCAGCAGCAAACCATTGTTTTTCAACCAAGCCTGTTTCCTGCTAATTTCCTGTGTGAAGAGGAAGGTGCAAATCAGCTCTACTGGAAACCAGTAGACCTCTTCTCTTCATCACTATCTCAGTTCGACATCCAGCATTCCATTCCAGCAAGCACAGTTAGTTCAAGGGAGGATGTATCAAGATTCCACTCCTTTTCGTGCATGTAACACATATACCAGAGGTCTTGGCAGCATGAGCGCTTCAGCATGAGTTGCAGGAAAGTGTCCATCAAAATGAGTGCTTTGGCTACAGTGTAGTGCAGTTGGAAGACAAACACGGTCACATGGCCCAGACAGCATGGTGGGGAAATTAAGAGTGGCATCTTGCTGAAGACAGCATGGAGGCCTTCTGCACCTAATGGAACTGCTTTATACCCAAAGCAAACAGGGCTGCGCTCCTACACAAGGATATATGGAAGCTTAATACAGCTGAAAATAACTAGAGACTTTTAAAGCTCCACCACTTTAACCAAAAATTGCACAATGTTGTGAAAATATGTAAACAAGTAAATTGTGAGAAAGGATCCAAATACTGTAAAATGTTTCTGACTACTACAGCTCTACTTTATCACATCACCTTCCCTCAAAAACTTTAGGTGACTTGGCAATATGCATTAAGTTTCCACATTTTCATGCGCCATGAGAAATTACATACTTGCTTATATATATAATACAGGTTATCTTTTCTTTCCTTCCAAAACTTAAGCTCAATCATTGGATCTGGATGAAAGCCATAAAGAAGAGTTTGAGCTGAATTCCGTTCCACGATATCTCGAATTTGATGAGACCACTTGATAATCATGGATTCTATTGCATGTAGCACTGACCTTGTATAAGAATCTTGCCTGAAAGATATAAAGAAAAACAGCAGAGTTCCTATTCCCTAAAATATAGTATAAAAGGATACCAAAAGTCAAAACACATGAGATGCTGGGAGACCTGCAACTGGATCTTCCCAATATTTTCATACGTTCAGTTATGGCCATGTGCGGAGGCTTTAACCTTTCCACCCATAGACAAACAGAAAATGGGTTCCCCATGCTGTTACAGGCAAAATATAGCTACGCATCTTTTTTCCTATAAGTAGTTGATAACAGTGCAGGGTTTCTAGTTTCAATTAGCAAAAACATGTGGAAACAGAAGAATTAAACTCACTCTACCCTCCTCACATAGCTTTGATCTGACTTGAGGCCCTTTGTCAATGTAATATGTCCTTTAAAAACTTATAGAGATTTTTGCTCTCCTGGCACAGCTAGCTTGACCCTGAATTTGGCTGCTCTGAATTGCTGTCCTACTCTTATTCTTTTTGTATGGTTATAATGGCCGAGTTCAGACTGGGAGTTTGGCCCGGCAGCCAAACATTTCAGGAGCGTTTCAGGAGCGGACTAAAGGGGTGGGTTCACACAGGCACATCTTTCAGGCGTCTCCCAGTCATACTCAAGCTGTCTTGTGCTGCTTCCCAACCGAGTTTAAAAAGTACCAGATGAAAGTGGTAGCAAACCGTGTGTAGAGCGGGTTGATTCCAGTTCCGAGTGGGAACGCAAGTGCTGCTAAGGCGGGAACAACCCACAGTCAGACACCCATGCGCTAGGCGCATGCAGCGGAGCGCAAAAACAGCCGCTAACAGCCCGCCAGGGGCGGGCCAACAGTACGAATGCTCCCTTGCGCTTTCTCCATGGTATCCTCCCGCTTCATTCACTGCAGTGTGAACGGGAATACCGCAACCAAGCTGTTCGGGGTCTGTTCCGGGTCTTCTTTGCCACGACTCCCTAGCGCTTCAAATTGCCAGTCTGAACTCGACCAATGTATGGTACTGCTGAGTGTTAACACACCCTGTCAGCTTTATGTTTTGCATCACATAATTCCCTTTTTTACTTCAAAAGTACAACTGAATAAAGACTCTTTCTCTTTTACACTAGAAAATGCCACACAGACATATGTCTTTAGTTGATGTTAGATAGTATTACAAACTAATTATAATGTCTATGATCCCAGGGTATGGTCTGAAGAAACACAATACTGAGGTCTTAGTGCTTAGACAGAAGACTGCCTGGGATATCTCTGTATGCTGCCTTTTAAGATGGAATAAAAGTAGAATATAAATGAAATAAATAAGGAAGGACATTTTCATACATAAAGTGGTTCTTTAATTTGGTCCTGTTGAACTTAATGAAGATGTCTATGCTACCCGGCAAAGTCTGCTATGGTTTCCCTGGAAAAGACCTGAGGTTTGGCTTAAAAATGCATTTCTCTGTTCAAATGTGTCATATACATATAAGTTATTATTACAGGTGTGTTATATGTAGTGTATAAATCTCTCTGTTCAGACTCATTTTTCCTCTCCAGCTTTGTACTTGCTAATTGTCTTCCCAGCTTCATCTAATTTACAGTGACTTCCTTAGCCCCTATGGAGAAACAGCTAAAATACTGTGTGGAAAGTTATCAATTGTACATAAACAGTTTAACTAATAGTTCCATATGTTTAAAAAGTAACTTTTAATACTAAGTTATAAAGCAAATGTGAGATTATTTTACATCTGGGAGAGAAATAATACTACGGAACATGTAGGCACCTGAAAGCCTGCCATGCAGTGGAGCTGATGCCTAGTTATAGTTACCAAGGGAGTCATTTTCTGACATTTTCAGCAGGGTTTTCCTCATATTTATTTATTTATTAAACATAAATTTTATTCTTAAATCTACATATACAAATATAGCCCATAAAAGAAATGCCAAATACTCAATGTGACAAGATTTCCATCCCTCCCAAGGCCATCACAACTTGTTCTTTGCAGGAAGGGAAATATCTCAGGCAAGTTAGTTTAATAACATTGATTTTCCTCATATTTAAATACACAGAAGGATTCGAAATGTTCCCATCCGATTGGTCAAGTTAATGGTCAATCAGTTAGTGTACAGTTTAGCCACTTTATTCTAGTTTAGAACCAATGACATGAAGCCTGAGACATGGGATGTTTTAACTGATTGAAGGGCCTAGTTGGAGAGAATAAGCCAATATCAGGGTTGGGATGGATACATGGAGTCCAAGAAAGAGACAAACAACCCCTGCTGCAGCTGTTTCCACTGGTGAAAACAACGCAGGAGAGAAGCCTGAAACCCCACCTCGCTTCACAGCCTTTGGAGCCATGCAGGGCAACACAGTGCCCTTAATGTGAGTTTCACTGATCCCACGGGTGATGAGCCTAGTAGGGCACCCATGTCTGGACTCTTGCCATATGTATTGTGTATTTTGATCCTCAGCCTAGCCAAAAGAAGTCGGAGTATGGAGAGTTGGGGTCAGTTGGTGAGGCGCTCATGGAACGTGAAGAGGGAGATTCCTGGTTGCTAGATGTAGCTGCTTAAAGAGCTAAAAAAGAGAACAGCAAAGAAACAGCTGACCAATAGGGAAAAAAATATTTAGAAAGGGAACTGGGAGGCAGATAGAAACTCAGGAGAATAGGAGCCTAAGGAAGAAATGTCTTTCAGGCACAGCACTTTGGTGTCCTTATTCCAGCATCTTCAGTAAGCAGTTCTGACACCTTATATATGTGCCAGGATCTTCAAGATAAACAAATCAAGCCAAGAAAGAACCAACATGAAAGAAGACTTCAGAGCAATGCAAGCAAAGTTCTGTGAGTGTTACCTCAGAGATATAAAGGAAATTGGGTATCTGAACTTATTAGGGAAGAGAACTAGCATAAAGACTGCCACCTCTCTTAGGGTACAACTGGACATTATGGTGTCCCCAGGTCCAATGCCACTACCATTTTATTGCCCCCCACGGCTGTTTCAGCACTTGAAAAAGAGGGGGAGAACAAGAGCACCTGATCTCATTCATCATATTGCAAGCCCATTCATGGCATTTTAAATGGCCTGCACTCAACTGTAAAATGGTGGCAGCACCTAATTGTCCCCTTGGTTACAGTCATGCTAAAGAAAATAAGCAGAAGGTGTACCTGCATAATAGATGATCAGTTAAATGAATAGGGAAAATAGGGATAATTTACCTAAGGGTACATAATGGCAGCAGAAAACAAGGTTAATAGATAAGAATACATAAATTGCCAATCTCCTTAATGATAGTGAGGCTGAGAGGGGTGGGATACATAAAACTAATAAACTCCACTCCCCCCATCATAATAATCCACCTTACTCCCACAACCATTTAAAAACTATGACAAGTCATACTTTTTGCTTTCCCCATTTCTAACTTGCACCCTCATGCTAAATACCCACTGGGGAGGGCGGGATATAAATGTGAAAAATAAAATAAAAATAAATACCTCCTGCGTAACATATTCAATGAGGCCTACCCCCAGACCCATGTGTTTCAACCTGTTAAATCATCTTATGAGCCTTTGCAGGCAGAATCCATCTGACCTGCTGTAGTGACTATCCAGTTCTAATCTTATACCTTACACTCTAAAAATACCCATACTAAGCCTTTAACAAATTCTGACTGAACAAATATGAAGAACGTCTATTATTATGATATATGTATACACACTCCTTACTTATTTTCATCATGCATCTCATTCAAGTCTGTCTCTGCTGCAACCGTTGGAATAGGAAGAAGAGTTCTCCCTGACAAAATTCCATTCATAACAAATATTTTATTTTTCATGATTTCTACATGTCGTTCCATGTCCCGTGAAACAAAATGTGGCCAGGATTCATGATTTTTCTTGTTCGAAAGAATGGGTAACATAACCTGAAATCAGAAGTGAACAGGGTGGGGGAACAAAGAGTAATGAGAAAATACTCAAAACCACCAACTATCAGTTTATTGGTTACATGCTGCAAGAGTGTAGTTAGCTCTATGAGAAGAAGACTTTGCACACACTCCTTCCTGTTGCTCCCCCCTTTACAAGTTGCAAACTAATGTTACTTCTTGGCCTTGGGCAAATCACAGTTTGCTGTTACATATGAACTAGCAAACTACAGTTTGCAAACTAGCTTGTTCCTGATATTCAGTTCAGGTTAATGAATAGTTCCAATGCAACAGCAAACTATGATCTGCCAAAAACTGGAATATATCTAATTACCTTGTTGGGTTTGAGGACTACAGGAAGTACAGAAGCCCAAGGTTTCTCCCAGGGTTGTTTATGTAGTACAAAACAATAATTTCACATTACATCTGCTCCAAGCCATTGTATTTTTTGCCCTACCTTTTATGGGCAATAACGTTTTTCCTTATTTCCTACTCTTCAATGAAGAAAGCTCTAAATTGGATAAACCACATACGGTTGTATCCTGCTATTCTGCTCTTTCAATGTGGAGCCTCTTCTCCCAGAGGAATGCTCTGCATGTAGCTGAGTAAAGTGGTAGGATACAACCCATAAACACATGTCCAAATACAGAGACTATTTTATTCTGTCCTATTAATTGGAGAAATCTTCACAAGTACAATAATTATTCCCATGGCAGCCAGACAGCACTTTCCAAGCCAGAGAATGAGGCAGCCCCTATGTGAGTGGAGTACTATACGCACTCGGAAGCCCTGCAGAACCTTGAATTGTGCCCAAGCAGACTAAAAGAACATTAATTCCTCTGTAGAGCATAGGGATGGGCACAAGCCAGGAAAATGGCAGTTCGTCCCAGTTCGTGGTTCATGGGGTCACACAAATTGGTTCATGGGGTCACACGAAAAACAAACCTTCACAAACCTCCCCGTTCACTGAACTGATTCATTTCATGATGCAGTAGAGGCCAGCAGAATGGAGGGGAGGAAGATCTCTCTTCCTGGGAGATCTTCCCTCCCTCCTTTCTGCTGATGGGGAAGATCTTGCAAAAGGCACACCGAACACAAGTGAAATCCAAGCGGTGAGTTCACCAAGAAATCCATCCTCCTGTTGTTTTGCCGATTAATTGATTGGTGCCAGCATGTCTTCTGCAAGAACCCCGACACGAACCTCCGGAAAAAATATGGAGGGTCATGGGAGGTTCATTGCGGGCACAATTGCACAACCCTCAGCTTATGAACCAGGAGATGTTCATCATGAAATTAGGTTTATGATGAGGTTCATGCCCGTCCCTAATAGAGATTACAAAAACATTATAAATATATGATGTTCAACTTCAATTCAGTTTCATTCATAAATACCAATTCATCCAAAATATATTTAAGTTAATACGAAGGACAAAATCAGAATAATAAAATATACTTTTGTATGCCACCTTTGACATGCCACCTGTGGCTCTTCAGAGCACTGTTCCTCAGTGTGGCATCTACTCCATGATCCAGGAACCTAGGCCAAGCCATTGCCTGGTAGGGCTTCTGGTTGGCAGGTCATTTGCTTCTTGAAACAAGCACTGATGAAGAGAATGAAGGCTGCTAGCTTCCCTGAGTTATGAGTCTTGTGTCAGGGATGGAAGAGAAGGTCCAGTCCTCTTCAACATCCCCCACCCTTTCCCACAGCCTCTAGTTACATCTATATATTTGATAGTTATACTGTCTGATGTGTGTATGATGGGGTGGTATGCAGGGCATGCAGTACTCATGTGGCTCTTTTCATTTATAGGAATTGCAAATGTGGTTCGTGAGCCAGAGAGGGAGTACTACTACATTAGGGAAAACTTTAAAGAGTTTTGGAAAATGAAGGAACAAATGAAATACCATGCGCATTATACTTCATATAGTCATTATTAAAGTTGCTGTCTCATCTGTGAATGTATTGAGTAGAAAATTGAAGAATTGCCTGCATATTAAGTGGACTCCCTCCTTCAAGCCCTGAAGGAACATTTTTAAAACACACACATTGGGGGAGGGGAACCTTTCAGTACGTGTAAGGACCAAAGGCTTTGTGTGCGTGCACATGTGTATGCACTGCTTTCATCATACCAGCAAAAGTTGATAACAGAAAAGGACCTGTAGTGATAGGCTGGCAGTTGGGCTGAAGGAGGCAAACAGTCTGCTGCTTGCTTCCCTTCAACCCAGGACCCAAATGCAGGAAAGGAACTGGACAGAGGATGCCCTTGGGCATTCACTTTCTGAGCCCAGCCTCCTTCCGCCAGGCTCTTTTAAGAAACAGAGCAGGCTGTGTGTCTTCACATTTTAAAGAAGAGGAGGAAACAATAACAATGTTTATAGGTCTCCTCTTGTACTATTATATTCAATAAAGAGTGTGCACAGACAATGAAATAATTCTACTTTTTAACATTTCCAGATTCAAGTATGATGGCTGCTAAATTTTACTTAAAGAAATGTCTCCACTCAAATTCTTCTACGGTTTGCAGACCCCTTATCTTATTTGAGCTGTATGCCCTGTGTTTGCTATCCTCTTGTACATAAGTTGCTAAAAAAAAAAATGTGACTTACTCCACTGTGGATATAGCTTCACATATTCAGTGGCTGCATTTAGACCTCAAAAGCAGACTTTAGCTCAAAATAACTAGTCTGGAGTTAACCACACGAGGCAAAACAACAAGTGGTTTGCTCTCTGGCTTACAAACCAGGATCCTAAACCAATCCTGATTTAGAAGCTTGGGTTTTAGCTAACTAGCAAACCAATTTAAATAACTTAACCTACCTCACAGGGTTGTTATGAAAACTGTATAGGAAACTGAGAATAATATATGTTGCCCAGAGCTCCTTGGATAAAAATGAACTACAGTAGACAGCTGTTTTGCCCACTTTGGTCTCAGAGACTGCAGTTAGTTTCAAACCAGGAAATCTTCAATTTCCCAGTGGTACTTAAGGGGTGAGGGAGTATATTCAGCCAAGGACTTCCAGCATGTTCGCGTTACAAACAAGATGTTCTTTATGATGTCTGAATAGAGACAGTACAGCTGCTGAGCTGTATTCAAGTTAATGATCACCAACCCTATCTCACTGGATTTATAATTGAGGCAAGCAAGAAATTCAGGGTAATCTGAGGAAATGTAGCATTTAGCAGATTTTAATCTGAACAGAAATCTTCAAAGAGTTGAGCAAACCCTGTGTGACATGGCTGGCATCTTGATCATTCATGGGTTCTTCCCCTAGTGTGGACACAAACTATTTTCAGTTTGCTCCACAGAATAAAATTTGTTCTAGGAAACTTCACTATGTTCTGTAACAGCAAAAAGGTAAACTCAGTTTCTTTTTGAGACATTTACAATTTCATAGTGCTTTGTTCGTGAAATGACTAGCAACTCTATTTCTTTTCTATCCACTCTGAAACCTTTTAAATGTTTAAGGGTTTATTACTTATTTTCCATTACTACATGAAGACCAGATTGTTCTCCAGTACTGATTAGTCAGAAGCATACTTAACAGTGCATAAACTTTAAATTAAATATTTGATCAGCCACTTCTGCTGTTGTGAAATTCTCAGTTGATCTTTAAGTAATAAATTAGTCAGGTGAACAGCTACAGTAGCACTATAAATATGATTTGTAACCATTACATTCCAGGATCTTGTTTGTCATTATACATCTACCATAGCAATACCAATAAATACAAACTTTTTTCAGAAAAAATGACAAACTGAACACATTCATTTTTACAGGGGAAACAGTGCTCTAGAATAAATGTGGGATTTGGAAATGAAGAAAGATGTGACATATATGAGCTTACAAGCAGTGTTCCCTCTAAACTGAGTTAGTGTGAGCTGGCTCACCATTTGTTAACCTCTGGCTCACAGATTTTTGTCTTAGCTCAGGAAGAATGGCTCCAGAGCAAACTGATTTATGCAGCAGCCAAATCGCTGGCTCACAACTTTAATGCCAGTAGCTCACAAAGTAGAATTTTTGCTCACAAGACTCCACAGCTTAGAGGGAACATTGCTTACAAGTAAAAATCTTTCAACAGCACAATCATAAAAAATGGACTAACATATCGTGGTTGTCTGCAACTTAGCCTTTCATCATTATAACAGAAATTATGTCTGCCCTTATGATATATCTGCAACACTGTCGCTTGCCAACTTTTGGTTTGTATTCTTTTATTTTCTTATTTATCTATTTTGTGTGGGGCTCTCTACTTCTATAGTACACAAAAAATCAACATTAACTGAGAGACAAAGTATCTTGGATTACTTATTCACAAATATTCTGAAGTCTATTTAATGAATTTTTAAGGGTGCTCAGTGATTATTTGATGCTGTTTTTGTCCCTCACTTGTTTTTAATGTCTTGTTTTGTTTTTATAGTGATGTTTTATGATTTTGTGCTATTAGTTTTACTTGTAAGCTGCTCCAAGCAGGACTCAAGAGAGGTGACCTATAAATTCTGTCAATAAATAAACAAATACATATTCTGTAAGAGGTACTCTGCTTGTAAACATATACCCTATCCATCCATTTCAGGTGGAAAGGTAGGAGAGTCAATATCCCTCCCAATATATATCCAGGCACTATGTGAATGTTAACGGTTCTCTATGAGACAATGACTTCCTTCCCTCACCAAAACTGGAAGTAGGAATTCTGATCAATTACTTCAACCAGACCTCGTTTTGGCTCGGAGCTCACTGGAGCGATGCTCCGGCAGAGGAGACCAGGGGGCGGCGACATGTAGCAAGCCTCGCCCCCTGCTCCCAGCAGCGCTCCCCTCAGTCAGCCAGAAGGAGAAAGAAGAAGTATGGTAAGTTGTGGATATCCCCCCTGCCTTTCCAGGCCCGGCAAAGCCCTTCCCGACCCCCCCCCCCATCTTGCCAGGCGAGCGCTATAGTGTGGAGCCCGGCAAAGCCCTTCCCACCACCACCCCGGTCTTGCCAGGCGTGTGCTAAAGCGTGGAGCCTGACAAACCCCCTTCCCAACCCCCATCTTGTCAGTCACGCACTAAAGCGCGGAGCCCGGCAAAGCCCTTCCCGACCCCCCGCCCCCCCTCTTGCCCGGCACGGACAGAGTCCAGTGGCACCTCTAAGACCAAGGCTTATTCAGGTAGAAGCTCTCTGTGAGAGCAGATCTGCATGCCCCCCCATAGGTAGGAATGCACAGAGTCCAGTGACACCTCTAAGACCAAGGCTTAGTCAGGTAGAAGCTCTCTGTGAGGGCAGATCTGCATGCCCCCCCCCGTAGGTAGGAATGCACAGAGTCCAGTGGCATCTTTAAGACCAAGGCTTATTCAAGTAGAAGATCTCTGTGAGGGCAGATCTGCATGCCCCCCCTGTATAGAAATTTTGTTTTCTGCTTTCTATAATCCATGCCTTCTCCTGTGATTAC